GGGGGGGGGGGGGAATTAATTCGTATAAGGATCAAAAATTCGTAATTTGTAATGCGCAACTATTGGTCGAGTGAAGAATTCAATATATGAGATGATTACCTCTCTTCGTCTTTGCCACTTTCTTTGCTCGTATCCTTTCGATTTCTTTCAGATCTGTCACGGTTCCTGTCTGTTTCCAGGAAACGAAAAATCAATTAATAAAATTGAGATAACTGGAGTCGATAACGTATAAATATTTGTGTACAAATATACGAAACTTAATTATTAAAAAATTGTATGCAACAATAATATTAATAATAGAAAAACATTAAAATTACGTATGCCCTCTTCGAGACTTATCAATCAAAGGATCTTCCGAGTAGATTTATCTCCATGTCAAAAAAAGAAGGAATGGAAATCTCAGTTTCTAAAAATGATACTGTAATTTCCTTGTACGTTGATTACCTTTGCTTATGCTTCTTTCGTTTCTAAAACGACTTTCACGTTCTCTCTCACGACCACGATCCCATGTCCTGTCGTCTCGGGGACGATCTCGGAAGTCATCCCTGTCTCTTCTGTTCCTGTTATCCTCTCGATCGTAGGGCCGACGATCCCGGTCGAAAGGTCTGCGCTCCTCTCTGATGAAATCTCTAGGCATTGGATGATCCAGTCTGCGTTCTGAGGAATGTCGTAATTCTTGCCATCTTATATCATGCTCATAGGGCCTCATTCTGTCAGCATACTCTTTCAGATTTTGTTCATTTTCCTCCCAATGTCTGAAGTCTCGCTGTGAATAAATTTCATGTTCAGGAACCACGGGTTTCAAGGCACCGTGGCCATAGTCAAAGCTTTGGGCTGGTGTCAAGTGATCCTGAACTGGAGGGCGAGGTGCGTGGGAATACTCTATGACCTTTGCTGGGACGTGTTCTACGGCATACGAATCAGGTGTAACTCCGCCATGATTGTAATTGAATTTGTTCTCGATACAGAATTCCTTTCCAGGCGGTAGACGACGAGGCTCCACAGGTCGTCTTGCAAATGGCCTTGAACTGAAGTTTGTATTATCTGGTCCTGAAAAAGAATCGATAGAACCGACCCTCAAATCGCCCATCATGGGTCTGCCACCCATGTCTCTTCTACTGTGGTCTTCTGGTAAGGGTCTTCCTGGTCTGCCTTGTCCAACGAAAGATCTTAGTTCAGGCCCAGGACCAAGATCGTTTGGACCAAGCATTGATGGTCTCTGACCGCCTCCTGTCATGTCTGAGTAACCTAATGGTCTGTCATCCACATCCTTTCCAAATTGTCTGTCTAAGTTAGGTCTACTCGGGGCAAAGGGGGATCTCCAATCTGGACCTCCTAGACCGAACGGAGAATCTCTGTTGGGCATATTTGGTCCAGGTAAGGATCTCCTATCAAAGTCAACGTTATCCTGTGGGAATTGTGATCGTTGATCCATGTTTGTAGGAGCAAAAGGTAGTCGTTGATCTACGTCACAGTGTCTAATTGACGGTCGATTAGGATCATGTGGAATATTCGGCTCATAGTCATTGGTTGCTTGACTTGGAATTTTATTCAGATCACTAAGTCTAGGTTCATCAATTTTCAGTCCCATGAGGGAAGGAATTCCTGCTCTTGGTCCTTCGATTTGACCACTGGGGCCGATATTATCTGACCCTCGTGGTCTGAATTGTCCATCATTTAACCCTCGCGGACCAAAGGCCGATCGTGCAAATTGTCCATCATTAGGATTTCGAGTTGCAAATGGTGCATCGGTTGATTCTCGTGGACCAACCGGTCCTGGGCCTAGATTATCAAATTGACCATTATTCATTGCTCTTGGTCCAAATGGTGGAAATCGGACGTCGGTATCTCTAGGACCAAACGGCATTGGTCCTCTTGGTCTAAATGGCATATTTCTTGGCCCAAAAGGTCCATCGAAGGGACCTCTTGGTCCAAACATTCCACCATCTGGTCGTATAGGACCCATATTACTATCAAACGGTGGTACATTATATCTTTCAGTTATTGGGCCTAAATTAGGTAGTTCCGGTGGTGGTTCCATATTCAAATCTTCAGGTTTAGGATCATTTTCTCCCATAAAAGGTAGAGCATCGGACTTTTTCACAATATCGTCTGTCTCGGATTTTTCAGGTTCCTTATTTTCTAAACGTTCTCCCGTCATTACAGTTTCTGATGGGTCGATCGATTCTCGATTCTTCATTGGGACACTTTCATTTACGGGATTTAGTTCACAAGGATCCTTCTCATCAGCATGGTCGTCAGGAAATTTAACATCCATCCAAGGTGGTCTTTCCAATGGTGGAATATCCCGTCCGCCATCTTTATCCATATTTCTGCATTCAGGTCCTTCACCTCTGTTTAGATTCTGTTCCACGTTTGCGCCCATAGGTTCCGGACGACCTTGCGGCTGTCCCAGAGTAGGAGTATTAGAGGCCATATTATCAGACTGTTGAAGATTAGGCCCTTCTCTATCTTGAGGTAAAAAGTCAGGCCGTGGACCACGGGGACCAAACGGTATATCATTCCTGGAATTACCAAAGTCGGGACGTGGTGGTCCAAATTCTGACCCTCTCATTCCTCTTGGTTCAAAATTTGTAGGCCTGCCTCCAAAATCCCCAAGACCACGAGAACCAAAATCAGAATGACTATTTCCAAAGTCATTCGAACCCCGCGGTCCAAAATCTCCTGGACCACGTGATCTGAAGTCTTCTTGTCCACGAGGACCAAATGAACCCATTCCGCGTCCTGGAAAACTGTCGGGACCTCTCATGCCTATGTTATCTCGTGATCCAAAATCACTTGAACTTCTTGAAGCGAATGGTGAATCCCCAGTAATTTTTTTGAAACTTTCACTAAGCGAACCAACGCCAATACTAGAGTCGGAGCTCAAAATGCTATCTCTAGGCTTAAACACATCCATTGCCGCTCTACGTTTCTCCATAAGTTTCTTCAATTCAGGTGCTATTTCATCTGTAGCGTCAAACTGATTACCACTTCTATTAAATCCTCGAGGATTGTTACCAAAATTGTCGCGTCTGTTATCAGGTAAGTCTCTTTGATCGAATCGATCCATGGTGAGTCTACCGAATCTATCATTATTCGATCCAAAACGATCACTTCCTGCACCAAAGTTATCTTTGTCGGTTGAAAATCGGTTAGTTTGATCACCAAATCTTCCAGCATCTCTGTTAAAACGGTCATTTCCAATATCTCCTTTATCATTTGACCCGAAATGATCATTATCTCGGCCAAACCGATCATTCCGTGAATCAAAACGATCGTCAGGCCTAAACTGATTGTTTGAACGGCTATTAGAATCAAAGTCTCGATTGTCACGTCCAAGTTGATCGTTTCTTGAAGAGAATTGATTTCCCAAATTACGATCACTATTTGAAAAATCATTGCTTGATTCATCTCTGCCAAAATGATCATTTCCTCCACCAAATTGATTATCACGTCCGCCAGATCTGTCATTAGACCCAAAACGTTGCCCATCAGATCCAAAACGGTCATTTGATCCACCAGTAAAACTATCCCTTTTATCATCATCATCATGTCCAAAGGGTTGGACAGGTTTGTCTGGAACATTGCCTTGAGGAGGTCTCGATGCAGCACCCTGCGCCTGTCTTGAGTCCAGAGAACCGAAACCAGGTGGTGGTTGAGAAAAATTTGGTGGCGGTTGTGAGAAGTTGCTCGGCGGTGCTGGCATCTGACTGATTTGCATACCGATCGGCGGTGGCGGCATACCAGTCATTGCTTGTATATTCGAAAAGTTGGTCATATTTAATCCTGCGTTGTATTGCGCAGCCCACTGTTGTGCAGCCCAGGCAGCTTGCGTCATATCGGCTGTCATAGTAGGTGGAGCCATGCCGGATAGTTGGACCAGTCCTGGAATCTGTGGCATTGCAGCTGTTCCTGGAGTAGCCAAGGATGTAGTATTCGCTGTAGATGCCGCAGGAGCCAAGGTGTCTTGCTTCGTGCTTAATCCAAGCGACTTTCCTATTCCTAATAGATTGTTGATCAATCCCTGATTTTCTGTATTTGACAGAATATTCATTATCTTTTCGCCACCGGAAAGAATCTTATTTTTGTCACCCTCTGTTTTAGCCGAACCTTGCTTCTGCTGTTCTCGCTTTCGTCGCATCTGTTCCCGCCTCTCTATAAGTTTCTCACGCCAGGACGTCCATTTGGCCTCATACTGCTTGTACTGAGTCTGCAATGAGAATTAAATCTCGTAAAAATAACCCTCGTATATCCTACAACGTAACGAGAGTTAACGAGAATAAGTATCAGGAGCGTTTTTTTTAACTCCGAAAGAAAAAGAAAAGTGAACAAAAAACTATTAAAACACCTACCTTATCTGGATGATTAGCATTTTGCTGTTTCCACTTATTAAATTGTTCTTCCCACTGTTTGAACTGGGCGTCAAATGTTTTTTCAGCCTCGGTTAGTTCATCTTCGATTTTAAACTTTTTAGCACTACTAGTTTCCATAATCGAACTAATACCGCGTTTATTCGCAGACAGAGTCTCACCACCAGGTTGACCCGGTAAAGGTGGCTGATTTGGTGGCAAAGGAGGATTTTGCAAGTAACTCGAAGCAGCTGCGGAGGTTCCGGCGCTACTCGCAGATTGTTTAGAGGGGAACAGCGGAAGGTTGTTTTGATGTGGCGGGGGGACTGTGGTAAATTGGTACTGGGTACCAGTTGATTCTGGGGGCAAAGGGGGCTTTATGGTTTCTTCTTTGGGAAGGGGCGGTGGTTGCATAGTTGGCAATGGAGGCGCCTGAGTGGCTAATGTGCTCATGCCCTGTGTTGACAACTGCTTCATTGTCTCTTGATACTGGAACAAAACCGAAAGTGCTTCTTAAGGAAAGGCACGATGTCCATATTATTGCCTATGTCCCGCACTGGCTTTAATCAGACGTTCTCATTTAAGAACTGATATCGGAAGGATTCCTAATTTCTATTGACATTTTTTTTTTAATTCATTCCTCATGATTTTGGGGAAACGGGAGCAGTTGGCAACTGGCCGTACCTTCTCCCCGTATTGCGTCTGCCATTGCTGGAACTGTTGCTGCCATTGCTGCCATTGAACCCAATTCTGTTGCTGGGCAGCAGCCCATTGTTCTGCCGTATAACCGCTAGGCGCCTGGTTAAAGTTTATTTATCAATTTTTATCAATACCCACAATCCAAAAAATACTTAAATAGTCTCCTTTTGATTTCTCTTTCTAGCGCTGCTACGAAAATAACGGGAAAAAATTATTAATCTGATTTAATCTAATTAAATGTGATCAGATATCCATTTTGGGAAAATTGGATCATATAGAATAGATTCTATATCTAATCAGAGCCGACCAGATCTGCTCACACCCGATTTGAAAATCATACTAATATTAAGTTAGATCTAACCTGATCTTATAAGAACTGATTTCATCAGATTTGATCTAGTAAGATCAGGTCAGATCTAGCACAACATTCGAACAGATTTGGTCTTATTTGACAAGACTTAGAATTTGATCCGAACCATACAATTTTCCCAAAATGGATATCTGATCAGATCCATTTAAATCCAAATTAAATGAAATTGGATTTAATGATTTTTATCCCAAAATATTTATGCCTATGCATAAATGTTTTTTTTTGCTGGTTATGCAATTTCAGTTTCATTTTTACAATAGGAAACCTTGTGGCATTGTTACTATTTTTTTACTTACTGGTTGATTATAGTATTGCATATACGCCTGCATCATTGCCATGGGATCTGCTCCTGGAGCAGGATAACCGATTGGTGGTTGTGGCATCGGTGTTGTGACGGTACCAGCCGGTATTTGCCATTGGTTCCAATTTTGCATATTGCAAACCTTCTGTCACTCGGGCATACAGTAGCATACGCTAGCTAACGCATGTCGGTGAGTTTTTAAGTGTTGGATGTACGTTTGGACGCTATTTCATGTTCAGAGAAAATGTTGGTATATAAGATTCCACTTTAGATGTACGTACTATACAATTTTGTGAGTATAATAACAATACTAGAACTTAAATTACTCTGAACTATATAAGTTTGAAATTTTTCACAGAACAATCATTGCATACAGTTAAGCAACATTGTTCTCAAATTTCAATAAATCATAAATCTTATGAAGGAGTGATCGATGCATATGCTAAAATAATTTTCTAAGGAATTTATATGTGTTATGTAACACTCTAAATATGCGTTCAAGTAAGTATCGCATCATAAGAGTAATTGTAAGTTAATGGTGGTTCGTCCAAGTTTAAATTTAATACATGAATGTACGTATGTTCTTATAACTACTTATAATTTTATGCAATGTAAATGATCTATTGCATAAACAAGACCAATGCTAATAGAAATAATTATAAAGCTATATCAATTTCTACAGTAAGTCATTTCGGATTTACTAATAGATATTTCAATAGCATTCGATGTTGCACAGTAGTAGCTTAATAAGTAAATAAATTTTTAATAGTGCGATTTGGCACAGCAACAAATTTTGCATTGTGAATATTATGTCGCCATGTTCTCAATATTGGATTAATGATAATACATAAAATCAATAATAATTTTGCAAAGACTTAAGTTAAACACAGAGTAAATGGTGTTTTATACTTTGCCATTAATTCCTATTGATAATAGGTATCATAGTATATCCTTCCAATGTCAAGAACACATTATTTCTTGAGAAAACATCTCTGCAACATTGCCATATCATACAACATCAGTGTCAGGATTTGTAAGGTACAATGCTTAAACAATAAATTATGAAAAATTCATTCAGCATCCATTTTTGAACCCTCCTAACAATCACAGATATGATACAGATTGAAGGATGTTTAATAGTGGTGTATATAAGCACCCCTAACGCAATGCAATCAATGTAACAATAATGTTTCGAAAAAATAAAATATTTTTCATTGATTCTCAGCCCGAACGCAAAACGACAATCGAGGAGAGAAAAAGAACAGAAGACAAAGTATAAAATGGAAATTTGCCCTGCAAGTGTTGTATCTACGGGTCCAAGTAATTCTTTAGAATTGCAAAAAATAAATTTAAGTACGTAAGACTGATATGGTTGCTCAAACGCTTTTATTTCTCATTAAATAATTATAAAAGGGGATTATTGATTTTTGGAACGTCGATGGTCTACTGCCACCATTGCTTCGTTCATCGAGGTGATCAAGCATAAACAATTCTCAAGCACAAAAGCTCCATCATTTCGATATTAGAACCATTAAAAAATAAATATTATTAGATAAATTCAATCATTAAAAGTTCCTTTACTTACAATTCGCTCTTCGTAGAAAACTTAACGCAGTTTTAGGATAATTACGACCGCAATACTATCGCGACACGATAACGTCTAGTACTACTAGAAATATGGCCAACGACTTGGCCGCTTGTCAAATCCAATAACGTTTTAAAACAAAAGTCCCTATATGAACTTATCTAAGACTCAAACCAAAATTCTAACGTCATTTGTTAGTACTAATTTCTTTTTACTGTCATATAGGGAGACGATTAATAGAAAAGTTTTTCAAAGATTTTTCTGTTCAATGAGAAATAAAAATAAGATAAAACTGCTAAATTTGTACAGAATTGTTAATAAAATATACATATCATATGCTTTTAGTCTATAGGACCTACATCTTATGTTAAAAATTATTGCATTTTACAGTTGGAAGGGTGTAGAGCATACATACATGATTTTGGGTGATGAAAGTCAATGATTTCAGTCGGATGTTGTAGCGAACCGGTTTCTGAAAGATAACCGGTTTAGCCTTCTTGCTCAGTGTTAACTCATGATTCTCTTACCAACTGAAAAGCATTTGCGAAAGAAAACGGTTAACGAAACTGACAGATCAAGAGCCTTTTTCCAACCAATGAGAATATTGTTGGATGTAAGTTGTCATCAAGTTGAACCAATGATAAGACATAAACACGTAGAATTCGCGCGAAAAGCGGAATACCGCGCCTAACCAAAACCCACCACCCTGTTTGTTGCACTGTGCCGTTCACGACGCGTTCTTTAGCTTGATTTTCGGGTGTTCCTCCGAAATTTTGTTTAATGTATGTGGTGTTTAATTAATCTATGATTATCGCATAATAGAAGTATATCACGGTATGTCGAGCTTTCAGTGAATTAATTAGATAATTCTGTTGATTTTTTTAACGTCTGCCACGCGAGATATCGGCGTCGTTCGATGCTCAAAAATGCGTACTGCTTAGATATTTATATACTCAAAGTTGAAATTTCGTTAATGTGAAATTTCATATTACATTTCCAAGAAGAAAATTATTTTTATTTTATTTGAATATTGTCGATTTATCAGTAACATGTTCTTAGTTCATAATCAAACTTACTGTTTCAAAATTATAATTGAGATAGTGTGCAATGTGTTCTCACAGCAATGTGATTTTTTTTTCATTTTAGACCATGAATACTCCGACCAGAGATTTCCTACGTAGACCAGATGTTCCACGTAGAAGGTCAAACCGTCAAGCTCTAGCAGTAATTCCTGACAGAACTAGTATTACAGTGTCGCCAGGTAATATTGTCCTTCCTCTTTAATTTTACTGTATCCAAAAGTATTCGTCATATTATATCCAAATAGGAGAAACATTACCAGGAGAAATGAATGCTATGGACAATCTCGCTAACAGCAGATACAGTATTGATTCCTGGAGTCCAGCTCCAAGTCCTGACGAGTTAGTTATACAAAAACGTGGTCGTCGTCGTAGAACCATAGTTTGGTCTCCAGATTTAGATGCTCGTAAGCGTGATAGTCTTTTTAGGTAAGTTCAAGTAATAATCTGAAATTATCCAATTCTGAATAAAAAGAACATATAACATGACTTATAATGGTAACAGCTTAAGTTCCAGAGACCGTACTCCAGTGAAGAGTCCATCCAAGACCAGTATGACTCTGAGAAGTACTCCTAGAAAACGATTACTATTGGGTGACATAAACGAGCCTCAATTAACAACACCAGAAAAGAAGAAAAAGCAACCAATTGATCAAGAAAAGCTTATTGAGAGCAATGGCATCCAAAAACAGTTCAATGGATCTTTAATGAATGGTCTAAGAGGTCTCAGTCACGATCAGCTAGTAAAAATGATCATGGACTTAGTCACTATTCAAGAAGATGGCAAATTACCTGCGGTTCAAAAATTACACGATTTCCTTTTAAAGAAAATGCCTGTAGCCGACATTCAGCCACTGCGAGAGAGGCTCAGTACACTGCGTCAAAATATCTATGCAAGTCTCGTATCATCCAACATGGATGAATCAGCGTACAGCCGATCCTACATTCATCTGGATGTTTTTCAGGTACGAGTCGATAATAATAAGTATTAAACAAAACATTCTTTGATATAATTCTTTCTGTTTCGTGCGAGCTTCTTGTTGGTCGTCCAGAAGGTTTCACTTACTGTTTTTTCATAGTCTAATACAGACTGTAAATTGATGAAGGATCAATACAATATTTTGTCTTTCCAATTCAGAAAGCTGTGATTGAGCAAGGATCGAGACTTGTTGAATCCCAGCATTGGACATCTGTAATGCAATATGTATTCGCTGCATGGAACATCACTAAGGATCTACCGGAATGGGAGCGACAAGGATTAGACAATACAAGGCGCAACTGCTTCAAAGCTCTGTCAGGTTTTTGTTCGCAAGCGCTGAAAAATGGTTCCTTCGGTCCATCAACCTTGGAAGCATTTGCCAAGAAGTACGTTATCTTTTAGTTTTTATTCGGAAAACAAATTAAACTAATATAACAAAAAACTGTTCTAAAATGATCAATTTCATAAACTCCGTATATCGTTTATGTTTTCTCTTGTCTAGATTGGAGACTATGCAAGGGGATTGCGAAGATGTAAAATTCTGTTCACAACTGTTAAGGGAAGCCCAGGCTTCAGAAAAATGACGTAAATATTACAAAAGCTGTTGAGATAAAACTGAATTGTGTTTAGTTGACGATTATATATCATAAGAACATTAATTCATATACATATACATTATATATGTTAATATATATTATACTGAAAGGTGGATATATATTTTATTATGTACGTGAGACGTTGGTGAGTCAAATGTTGACGTTGACTCTCTAGATCCGCTTAGTAACCGAGATTTGTTATTATTGTAAAATCTTGTGAAAGCTTCGAATTAATTGAGTGAATGAGCTTTATTCCTAAATGATGTATCTCTTACTAGTACTCAGTAATTAATTGTTATTTCAACGCGTTATATAATAACGTTGACGCAGATTGACGGGTTAATAATATTTTCTCGAATCAAAACTAATTTTTAGTATGGTGATGGGTTTTTCAACTGCCATAGAGACTATTGTATGACGCTCGTACAAAAAAAAATCTCAGGTCCAGTGTGAGAGCTTATATTTACTATAATTATTATTCAATGTACACAGAGACACGAACCTATTTTATGACTTAATATACATGCACGCGAGAAGTCCCGGTGTGGTTACGATTTTAGTCCTAAACAGTACTCTTAAATCGGCATTATAACCGATACAAAGTTGCATAGTTTGTAAGATCGTCTATTATTATTATTATTAAAATTATTATTTTTAGATTAGTATGATTAGATTTAGGATTCTTAGTTCAATCCATCTTTTGCTATTACGTTTGTGCGTATTAATAAGTTATGCTTTTGCTGAATAAACAGTGATTTCTAATCGTTTACTTATTCCCTAATTACTTCGTGGCATCAATTTTTAAAATTCTAACCCTATCCTTGCGTTTAGTGATGGAGCCAAGTCAGAAATATATTTTTGAAAAGTCAAAAACTGCCGTGAAAACTAGATTGATTTTACAAAATGACGACGGTACGTATTTGGACACGTTAAGTAGGCTAATTCTGAAACAGGTTGAACATATTTTGTATCCATTCGACGTTTCAGAAATATATTAAGATACACGTCAATGATTTTTTTTTAATCACAATTATCCAACGTATAAGTCTATTTATTAAGAGTGCTTCACTACAATAATAATATTGGTCATTAAACGAAAAAAAACACCTGCTTTATTAAAAACAATTTATTTCCTTTCATAATATATCGTGCAATCTTTTACATAATATTTTCATTATTACTTTTAAAGGCACATATTTCATTTATCAGTTATCGTCTCGAATATCTTCCTCTTATATTTTTTTTTTTAATTTTTCCATCAAGCCCGTCATGGTGTAACTTTAACAACTACCATGTCACACACTATACATATGCGATAATAATGTAATACGCAGCATGCGCGTGCAATCAATGAGCGCCAATGCCTATCTGCGCGAATGTAATTTTCATCGTTTTGCACTATTAACGATATAAATAGCATCTTTTCTATTTATTTCAACGCTACCTTGTCCTACGTTATTCTTAGCCAATTTAATCGCGCAATCAAGTAAACGTGCATGTCGCCAAATTCATCAGAGATTCTTGGGTCGTCAACGCGTGGCCCAGATAAAATTTAAAAATATTAATACATATGTATACATATATCTTTTATATAATTATATATATATATATATATATATATTGGCAAGCTTAGATTATACACTTCTTAGGAACATTTTCAAAATCCAAAGAGACCACAGGATTTCGAAAATTTCAGGCGACAGAAAAATGAACGTGTATGTCTGTTTACGCACGAAATAGAGAGTGTGATAAGGAGACAAAAACTTAACAAGATTCATCGTAAGAAACAAAATTTGACTTCATCTAAACTTAAAGCATTTAGGTGAAACAAATCCGAATAATAAGTACATATCTTTACGCCTCGTACCTCCAGCGCGAAGACGCAATAAAATTTAAAAAAAAAAAAAAGAAAAATAAAGGAAACGAGATAAAAACATGATTCCAAAAAAATATATGTATATGGAGAAATATCTAATACGTAATCTCAGCTTCACTGACGCGAAGTAGAAAATTAGATCTAGCCGCTTTATCCAAATGTTACGGATAAAGGTGGTGAGTAACGGCAGAAAGAGAACTTAAAATAATAAAATAAGAGAAACTCGCCATTGTCGTTCATAATTAAAGAGCAGTAAAGAGCGTAATGCAACTGTGAGTTGGATCTTCTATAAATATAAAATCGAGCAATTTCGAGACCCTGTTGAGAAATTAAGTGCATTCCATTTACTTAAGAGGGACACTTGTGGGACGGAAAATTGGAGTAGGAATGAGAATGGGGATATGGGGAAGTAAGGAGGGTACAAATGCGAGAGTCACGTGTCTCGCAATTGATCGTCATCGAAAGACTTTCTGCCTTTGTACGTAATACAGAGAAAAATATTACCGTAAGATCGTTCGTGGTACCGGAAATGCCCGAAGGAGTATTTCGTGTCGATATCCGTTTCACGACGCCCGAGACGCGCGTTTAAATAAAATAACATTTATATTATTACAATGTCCTACGATACCTAACGATAAAGCTGCAAATTGAATACTGTGGTGATAAGTGTTTCGATATTACGAATCTCTTGCAGATATCAAAATCTTCTTAAAATTAGTCCACTTTCGCTGGCTGCACTCTTGGATATAACTGTAAGGGTCAAAGATCAATATAATTATCATTAGTGGTCCCAGTGAATAATCTATCTTAAATTCATTACGCTATGAACTTACCCCTAATAAATTTCTGGGTACGTAACCCTCCCTGTGTCCCAATTTACTCCACCACCATTCCCTCTCGTTGTCGTCGCCCTTCCTGAGGACGACCAGGGAGTCGCCATTTTTCAAGGTAAGCTCGTCAGTGTGTTGAGCCTCATAATCAAAAACGGCGAACACTTGCCCATTGTTCATAATGCCCAGTTTCTCTTGAACACCTGTGTCAAGTGAGAAACAAGAAAAATGGTGCTTTTAATTGAACCAATTACACTTCTTCGGCTGGGTACGTTAACACTGCTGTGTCTGAAGGTAGACGAGAACCCGGAAGAGAAGCTGGCTTTATTCCAACTAACTAGAAGAGGACAAAGAAAGATCCTGGACTTACTGTACAAATACTCAGAGCAACCGTCGAAGCCCTCTTCATCCTCCTCGCACTTTTCCGCTGCGGTCTCGTGGTCCGACAGTGTCGTAGCAAAGATACAGGCACCATGTTCCACTAGGAACCTCACCATGGCCAGATTGTTACAACTGGCGGCGCAATGAAGCGGGGTCCTAATAAATGTTTAAAAAATTCGTAATTTAAAAATTCCTTTTACATTAAATTACAAACAAAACTCACCATCCGTCACTGTCCTGTGCGTTAACGTCGCAGCCAAACTCAACTAAGAATTTCACAATCTCCAAGTGTCCAGCACAGATTGCATTATGCAGAGCGGTAATGCCCTCGTCATTGGCTGAACTAGGATTGGCCACCTCCTTGGCAGTCTTCTTCACGAGCTCCAACTCACCCTCAAGACTCGCATCCAGGAGTAGTGCCAAAGGATCGAAGGAGACTCTTCTAGAGAGATTAGCCTTCCCTGTAGTTGATTTAAGGTTTCCTTTCTTCCTTCTGATAACATCCGTCTTGCCATCCCCGTCGAATTCCGGTCTACGTTCGGTGTCGACCTTTGCCTTGAGCTTGTCCTCGATATTTATAACATTCAGAGCATCGACGATATCGGAATCCTCGAGTTTCTCGTTCCCATCGTCGATCAGATTTCCTACGGAAGTCGGCTTCTTGCAGCCAATATCCGTAGATTCACTAATCTGTTGCTGTTGCTGTTCCGTTTGCATGAGGTCGGCTGGTATCTCAGTCTCGGGGAAGAGGAAGGCCGGGGGCATCTCAATCCGTCGATTTATGGACACGTGGACATTTGACTTAGCGTAACGTAGCTTGGGCTGCTCCGAAAGTGGAGGCTTCTTCAGGGTCAAGGGTCGTGCCTTTATAATTTGATGAGTACCAATTTGCGTTTCCGTTGGAGATTCCGGTGGCTCGGACGTCGGTATAGGAGGAATCTCCTCTTCCTTCTCGAGTCTGAAAGGTAATACGGAAAGGCTTGTAAAAAACTGAATCCTCTGGGAACACACGTAGATATCGACAGAGTGGGAATCTATTTGTGGGAGACGTCGAAGACGCTGCCGTAAAATTCCGCGGGCGTTCTTGGCGAAAAGATAAAAGGATAAGTCGGAGAATCGCGACTCGTCTCTAGAGCTCAACGCACTACTAGGCGATCCCTATCAATCAGAGAGTTCACGCGCACTAAAGTGCGTGGCTGTTGTCTCCCTTTCGGCCATAGCCGAGTTCTATTTCTGTGTGCATTATTCGCGACAGGCTGCGATTCACTCGCCAAATCGATCGCGGACTAATTAACATTTATAATTAACCCGGTAATCGTTTTGTGATTCTCTTGGGAGGAGCGTCAGGCGATCCTCGAGAATCACTATAGCTACATAGACACATAGCTCAGGTACGCCGGCTATGCTATCCGGAGTACGTTGCCGCGAGACTTGCTGTTGACAGAGTAATTTCCTTTTTCACCTGACACGCAATTAGAAAGAGCTTTTCGTGCAGAGTAGGCAAACTACGAGCAATGCTTACGGGACCACACCGACATTTACCACGTGTCCAAATGGAAACTCGACCTTAATACAGATTTTAATTGGACTCCCCAGTGATTAGAGAATTGCAAATGTTTAAACAAAAATTGTGTTATCCTTACGGATAACGCTAAAGGGAGTTCCTACGTAGGGACATTCCGTTAACTAACCGAGTGGAGATTCAGAGAGTAACAAGCAAAGAGACTAATTGCGCTAAAGTGGTAGAAGCGACTTTAGTCAATGAATAAGCTAGAGTACCTGGATCCCACGGTGATGCTGGCTTTTCCGTCGCTGGTTACGTCTGAACTTATCTCAATTTTCTCATGATGCGTTAACCTTGGCGGTGGATTTGGTTTACTTGGTTTAGGCGGCAGTGCTGGTTTTGTTTTATCCTCGCCCTTAGCTTCTACAAAGCCCATGGGTTGTTTTCTGTCGATATCTTTCAGCCTCTCGAATTCATACGGCTTGTCGGGAAGTTTGCCAGGTGGTTCGAACTTAACACCGTGATCGTGTTTGATACCTAAACCTTGTTCGTACTTCCCAGTGAGATGATCCAGCTTTGATGGATTCTGATCGTACTTGACTTGGTCTTGTTTGAATTGCTGAGTCCCAGCACCCTCGTACTTCATTGGCTCGTGTTTGAACTGTTGATTGTGATCGTACTTCGTGCTCTGATGTTCGTGCTTGAACTGTGGATGTTCATATTTTTGAGTATGATCAAACTTCCCATGTAAATCATGTTTCATTTGGTTTTCATACTTTCCCGAAATTGACTCATGCTTTCCAGAAGACTGTTCATGCTTTGATTGCTGATTGTTCTGATCATATTTTCCATGTTGATTGTCATACTTCATTAGATTTTGATCGTAACGCGACTGTTCATGCTTTCCCGACAAGAGATGTTCATACTTCTCCGATTTCGATTCAAATTTGACTCTATCGTTTGATGATTCAACACCCTGGTTTCCAGTATTCAACCCTGATTGTGTTTGATTATAGCCGTGTGCTGTGTAACCAGTAAAGTTTGGATTTTGACCCATGTGAGATGGATTGTGTTGTAGATTTCCTTGAATTTGAGTTTGATAGCTGGTCCCCGTAGCCACCTGACTTCCACTCTGCGTCGCATGCTGATTGCCCATTCCTGGGAAATTATGCCTGAGAGCGAATCCTTGCTCTTGAGGAACCGGATTTCCCTGAACACCCTGAGAACCTTGCGGCCCGTTGCTTTGACTGTTTAAACCCGTGTATCCCTGAGTGCCCGAATGCCCCCGGCCTATTAAACTAAGTGTCTGAGGCATCACCGGGTGGATCTTCGTCGAGGAAGTTTGATAGATTGGTGACTTTACAGGAAAACTCGGCGCTACACTCGAAACTGGTTTCTGGTGCGTTTGAAGATTTCGATGATTCTGATTCTGAGTTATGGACTGTCCGCTGGCGAGACTCGAGTTTGACGAATTGGTGGAGCTGTGTTGTTTCTGTTGAGTATTGTGCTGCTGGTGTCCATGAAGTCGTAAATTCTGTTGAGTCTCCTGAGGATAATTATGCCCGTTGTTGTTGTTGTTGTTATTGTTGTTATTGTTCCCATTGTTATTTGTCGACAGAACGTTTCCCGGCTGTCCAACAAAGCCCTGAGGACTGGTCTGCTGCTGATTTGCCCCAAGAAGCTGCGACTGACCTAAACAATGTTACACGTCGAAATAACATATTGTTCAATGGGGTTCGACAATGTCTCAGAATTCAAAAGGAAAGAAATAATAACAACGTACCCTGAATATGCGATTGAGATTGACTGTGTGCTATCTGATGTCCAAACTGCTGAAACGACCTTTGACCAATCTGCGACGCGCTGGCACTGTGCTGAATCTTGTTCTTATTAACGTCATCCTCAGCAGCTTTGAAGTTCACTGTGAACTTTGTATTGTACGGTAAAGTTTGATACTTGGGATCACTTTTATTCAAAGTGAAGTCATTGTCGTTAGGTATATGCGAATAGGGTTCGATGGCAGCTATATTCCCAGCAGGCCTAGACTTGCCACTGTTATTAAAGTCCAATTTCGAATCGGCGAATGCTGGATTATTCGCAGCCCGATTAGACGAACCCAATTGCTGGCTGAGTCTCTGATTGAGTGCTCGTTTCCTCTGAAGGCGTCCTTGAAGCTGAGCTATCCTGGCGTCTATGGAGGCCATCTCCGCCTGTCTCTGAACCAGCGCGAGCCGCTGCTGCGAGACGACCTGATTTTGTTGCTCGTTCATTTTGTTGCGATACTAAAACAAATCGAAGAGAGGATCACAACAAAGTTCGCAATCGTCATTAAACCTTCAGCAACAAAAACAGCAATAAATAAAATGACCGACGTACCATAAGCTCCCTGCGAAGTTTCTCAAGCTCTGCGCTGGCCGGTGTCGTAAGGTGCCCGGCGCCATTGTTATGTCGACCCCGAAGCTCCTCCAGCTGTCTAGTAAGTTCCTCGACCTTCGCCACGGCCAGCGAGAGCTCCTTTTCCTTCTCGTTGAAGAGGGCCCTTATGCAGTCGAGGTCGGAGGCTGCGAAAGAAAAGTCGAATTGTAACAGCCAAGTCAAGCAAGCGGTCGAGATGGGAACAATGACGTGGCATCGCAAGACAAAGGAGGAACCTCATGAGATCAAGTGGAATGTCTTTACTGTATAAGATGGAAGATGGGAACGTGAGCTTGGACCGGATATTCCTGTACTGAGAACAGCTGACTATACTGAAGTTAGACAAGCACGAAGTAGAGCAACGACTCTGAGGTATCGCATGGCTGAAGTCTAAGTAAGCTGGAAAGTAGTGGAACACATTTTCAAAAGTGCTCAGTGCCATTTTCCACGGTTGCCATTTCCACAGACATTTTGTATAGCTAGTTACTTTTGTGCCATATATATAAGTATCTATACGGTATCAGAGTATTTTTATGGTCTCGCAAGACCAGCTTAACGACCTCTCATCGGTTTCCACCCGTCAGGACTTTAATGGATCGTAAAGCCTACAGGGAAAGGGACACGGAAGGCCTGCACACACGGTACGCATATGATCCTGCGTAGCTCCTAGACTGCGTCGCGTCTCTGGCACCAAGAGCTGAACGTCCTTTAAACTCGGTAGCTTTACGAGGCTCCTGCTCTCAGTCACTACGACGTGTCCTCGTCCCAAAACGAGCCTCCTGGGAAAGCGCGTTCATCTCGCAAGGTTAATCATTCCGTGCTCTCAAAAAACAGTCTTGACATTCTCAACATTTTCTTTTTCCAACAACTTCCTCTTTCACCTCCTTTCTTCTTCTTGTCCTTTCTTCCAAGCCTTTTTTTTCCTCTTTCTCCTATATACTCTCCCTCGTGTACGCTTGACTCTCGCGAACAGAAAATCAGATCGTACCTCGTTGGCATGTATGACTTGGCACGCGGGACAGTCAGAACTTTTACACAGTCAATGCGAATCCGACGATTTCGCCCGTGGTCAGTTTAACGCGTGTCGAATTTTCAAATTCGATTTTCTAAATTTACCGCAGCCTGTTCGCTCGATTAATGTCATTTTTTCAAATGATGCGTACACTCTCTCAGTCAGAGAATATTTATTTTTTTGCCTGACGACATCGCCAGCCAATCACAATCCGAACGAAGCGACAACGATGCTACCAATGAAACTTCGACAAAACCTGAAACGTATTTTTTTTTACTGAAAGAATGAAAAGAGAAGGACAAGAAGGGAGAAAGAAGAAAGGAATTTAATAGTCAATATAAAGATTGACTTACGTCATATGCGCCAATAAGATCACAGAAATTATCCAGCTTGCGCGATGCTTAAGCGTAACCACGAAAAATTTATATGGGTGGTATCCCTGAAATTTGTGGTTCCCCTACGACAGTACGGTGTCCCGCGTAAAGGGTGTACTAAAATCATTCCATTCGCGAATGGCGTGCTTCTTCGAGCGAGCCCAAAATTTCCATAGACAATTTCGTCGGATCGGTTGCGTCGTTGAGCAAAATGGAAATTCTCTCGTGGGATCCGCACCACGGCCGAAGTAAGGAACGGGAAGTGAAGAAGCAAAGTAAAGGGAGCTATGCAAGGTGAAGCGAGACAAGCGAACGTGTACAGATGGGTTCTCGCCGCAAGGTGGTATAATTAAGTTTGCCTTCGGTTTTGTGTTGGAGACGATGGCTTTAAGGTTGAACCGCACAGCACGTGTACGATATACACACCATATATATATATATATGTACACACGGCACAGAAGTCCACGTATAGTTGTACGTAAAGCCTCCTTTATCGCAGACAACAGGCGTGTCCCGCGAACATGGAGAAAAATTGAAATTGCGAATTCGCGCATATTTTGCACAAGAAAATATGACGCGCAAGGGCACGGTGGCCGCTTTGATGAAGGAGACAGGGACGAATTAATGGGGTATCCTAAGGCCCTTTAAATTTTAACGAGACTCTTCCCGCAACAGCCATGGGTGTCTCAGGTTTGGTAGGTCTGGCGTGAATTAGTGGCACCGAAATCATTCTGGCTATTGTGACGTAATATGTTTTTTCCTACGGGGGAATCCACAAATCCTCTTGGGTCGTTACCTCATGTTATACGCGTGGGAGCTTGGGATATTACGGTTCGCTTTACATCGCGGTGTTCTTTTATTCGGAAGGACATGAAATTAAATTAAATCGTCGAGGATGAAAAGATGGGTTGCAAGTTCACGATCTCCATGAAAAACTGGGTCGAAATTAACGTAACAAAAAGTCAGTCGCCGTGTTGCTACGTGGCTATACATACATAAAGAGAAAGAAGCGAGTAGTGAAATAAAGAGGCAGCTCTTTATTTAATCGCCAATTGAAAACGTACAACCGTAGATATCGAATGATAAGGGTATAGCCGGTAGCATTGTCAATAAAGCACGTGTCACTGCGGTGTGTCGATTGGCGAGGAAAACGAGGGTGACAAGGGTTTGGAGGTAACAAAAAAAAAAAAAAAAAAAAAAAAAAAAAAAAAAAAAAAAAAAAAAAAAAAAAAAAAAAAAAAAAAAAAAAAAAAAAAAAAGACAAAATAAGTAGAAGGGGATAAAAAATAAGATCCCGACTGAAAATGGAATTATAATTTTTTTTGAAAAACAACATGGCTACCTTCCACTTACATTTACGAAGAGCCAATTATAAATCAGATTAAATGTTCGAATCAATTGAAACGCCGAGCACTCAGGATATGATAAATAATGAAAGTCTTGACAGCAAATTAAACTGAGTACACGAGGAGCCGGACGAAATGTCGCGCTCATCGTCGGTAACGTCGGTCGTCGACGGGATGGATGGAATATTTTATTTGCATTAAAAGCTCGAGCCATGGAAAATCGGGTCGTGACTGGACTTTGAATTTGGATATCAGTATCAGCCTATATATAAATGGAAGATATTATACCGAAGAAAAGTTGACTATTGTGCAGGTAATTAGCTCCGCTGATTTCTCCATCGCGTATATTGTTCCTGCTTCAATTCGCATCGAAGCTTCGCATACGTTCCCCCCTGCTTTCGCGCTTTGAAAATTTCCTTCTATTTATCTTTTTCCTTTATCTTGACAACTACGTAAATCCGCGCTCAGGGTACTCGCGTAGTGCTTGATCGAAATTAGACTTACGGCTGTGTGCGTGTACAGCGAGAGACTCGAGCAAAGGAGGACGGCGATACCGTAGACATGAAACTGAATGAAAAAGAAAAGGAAAAAGAAAAGAGCGTAGAAAGAGGCAGCGTATAAAAAGAGATGAAATAAGAGGAGCAAGGAAAAAGCGAGCGTCAGCGGAAAATACATCTGGCACGGACAGGCGTGAAAAGCTCGATTACATTGGAACAGAATTTTTTCGTGCGCGAAGAAGCCGCTGCAGTGACGCGTCGGTGGATATTCGTAGAAAAAAAAAATTAATAAAAACTGACCAGACAGAAAACCAAAAAAAAAGCACTTGACGATAAATGTAAAATGAAAAATCGTTAAAAAAAAAGTGAGTTCACGCAAAATCGACTTGTCAAAACTGAAAATCGCCAAGTACATCTAAAAAAATCCATAATAACAATTTCACCGTGTATAACGAAAGTATATACGTGCGAAATTCTCATCGTCCAAATATCCTCGTGTCGTCTTCAAGCCCCTCTCAGCCACTTTTTTCTTCTTTTTCCCTGCGGACATTCCGTCCTGAGCGTCAAATCATTTCCGCGTGTGTTTCCGGTACGCAGGAGACAGGCCCCAGAGGCCGAAGGCCCCTTGGGGCGATGTGATTATACGCCCCTGAGATAAAAGCGAAAATAACGTTTGTGACAGTTTATTGTCCGTATGACGATGTATAGTCACTGGAAAGTTAATAGGAAATCTCACAGTCCTACAGCCAATTGTTTTTTAAATTTAAAAAAGACAGTTCATGGACGTTTAATCTTAGGAGCATTTTGAGAATGTTTCTGTTAAAAATATATATAGTATGAAGGGTGCATAGAAGCCTTGTCCCCATTGGTCCAAGGGTCGTCATTAATTTCGTCACGTTTGGTCATCTCTCGCATATTATTATTATTATTATTTCGTTTTGTTAAAGTTCCGCCAACCTCCCAAATATTTTTTTCTATTTTATTCGTTATTCTCATTATTACCGGTTCCACCCCTAACATGCTGCACCCTTCGTCGAATACCTAGGTGACTGATCACGCTATCCAATTAATGCCATACAGCCTCACGTGCATATCACGTATGTTTCCTGGTATATGCGTACATCGTTGGTTACAGCATACCGGGTGTCACAATTAAATGCAGCTAATTGGACGAAAATTAGCAGGACCGGTCATTCGCGCCTACGTAACAATTAACGATGAGGGTTGGACTAGTCATTTATTCGAGTGTATGTATCTGCCTGTATGGGTTATCATTAAAATTTCCAGGCAATAGCGTTATACCCTTAAGTATATGGGATCTGGGTATATATATATGTATTTCGAGACCATAGGAGTCGGTTCGTTTAGCGTGACAAGATACTCCTTATATGGTCGATAAATCCGTTTCGTAAAATTTCCATTTCCCGATAAGTGCAGACGCGGCCTGAAAGAGTCTTTCTGGTAAAATACGTGAAATTGGAAAGTTGCCGAGGTGCCTTACGTGATGGGGATGAGCGCCGAGGAAGAAAATATCCGTCAAGACTTACGTATATAAGTTTCTGGGTCGTCTAAAGTCAGACGACAGACGGGACAGTAATACCGTCATGTCTGCCATCTACTATGATTGTCTTCACATTTAAACATGACGTCGTGAAAATATTATGACAATTCCCTTAGGTCGCACTTACGACGTACGCGTGTCTCATAGGATATACAAGTGTAGAACTAGTCCGGGACGCATTTAAATAACACGTAAAAAAAATCCAAGTATGGGACATTGACGTTTAGGATATACGACTCGTCTTGAGATACACTAAAATACATTTACAATAAACTCTTGCATGGATATGATATATATATAAAGGTTTAAAAAATGCTATATTAAATATATACGTATTGTGTAACAAAAAGCATACA